CACCCTTCAAGATTAGCAAGGGAGACAGGACAAAGACCCAGCCAAGCCCTTCCTGGAGCCCAGGGAGGGAAGCGAGGTTTCAGGCTGGCTGATGAGGCTGTACCATCTGTTGGGCTTGCTGTCTCCAAGCAACATGACATGGAGCCTCAGACAAACTGCACTGCTCCTCTCTCCTCTCTGCAGTTTGCAGCTTGCTTCTCTCCTCCTCCTTCTTTGTGGCTCTTGTTCTTTTCCCACAGAAAGCCAGTTAGACCTTCCCACCAGCAGCCCAAAAGCTGCCACCTTCCAGATAACAAATAGTACCAGTAGCCTTGACACTGACACTTAATTCCAATGCAGATGGCTGACAGCTTGCTTGATAAAGACAAAGCACATCAGTGGAGCAGACTCTTGTACTGCATCCAGCTTGGTGCTGCTTTACACTTGGATTAGCATTTTAAATCATCCCAAGGCATTGGTGACAGACAGCTAAGTGGATTTGACCCTGGTTTGCAGATAGATCTCAAAAATTATTTTCTCACAGGATGAGAGAATGATGTTCCCTGGAAGGGAGTGCAAGGACTGGCTCTTGATGCTAAGGTGTTACTTTACATCTTTTAGAAGGGTTACTGGAATATAAACACGATATGAAACTGTAATAGTCCAACCGGCAATGCCTGCAGGAGTTACGATGGGAGGGAGCGTTGGATAAACTGGACAGCTGCATCCTCCATGCAGAAGCGTGAATACAAATCCTTAGGAGACAGACAGGTGGCAACTACAAGACGCTCTCCAGTGCCTTCACTGACACTGGGGAGAGCACTGTAGGGAACTCCTGGCTGGTTTTGGTACTCACAGCTTAAGGAAGATGTTTGAAACAACTGTAGAAGCAATAAAATTGGAAACATTACAAAGATGTGAAGGAGCTGAAGATCCCCTTCCAGTCAGCTTAGCAAGAAGAGGTACTTGAGTTCCGTTCATTTGGCTCTGACATTCAGAAGAGAGATCTGAGACTGGAGCTAAGAGTTCCTGTGCAAAGACAGCACATAAAGAGAGCCCACAACTTGCATTCCAGGTGAGGCAGGAGGCCCCAATGGACGTCCATCCAGAGAATTGCTCAAGGATGACGGACCACTACCCCAAATCACCAGGGATTGTGATGAACTCCTATCAGAAGCAGGATTTAAATAGATAAACTGATCCAGAGAGGTGCTGTAGTTTCAGCAGTGATGTGTTTGCAAGCGTAAGTGGTCACCCTGAATGCCAGGACCAGACTGGCCAAGCAGAGCAGTTCCAGCCTCAGGACGAGTTGAATGCATCCAGAATCCTGATGACTTTGTGGGACAGAGGTAAGTGAAGGGACAGGAGCTTCTGCTCACTGTGTTGCTTCTGGGGCAGCCAGACTGTGGGTGGCCACCTGGCCCTGTCACCCCAATGCAGCAGGGCCTGCACAAGCCAAGCCCTGAGCCTGCTCAGGGAGCTGGGGTGGGCTGGCACCTGCCCCGAGGGGCACAGCTCAAGCACCCAGGAGGGGCCAGAACAGCTCCCAGACACACATTTGGCAATCAGGAGAGGATCAAGGGGACCCCGACTAAACAAACCAGGTGTGGACCCATCAAAGGCTGCTTCCCACCCTAGTCCTACTTGTTACGGAGGGTCTCTGGAGTGGAGGCTCCAGTCTGGAGCCCAGCAGAGGTTTCACAGGAACAACTGCAGCTCATGGCACACACAAAGCAAGAAGAGTCTCTTTGCAATATAAATTTGTTTTTATTGAAGCAGCAGTCACATGACCTCGCATCTAGCCTTTAGGATAGCAACAGAATGGATTCGGCCAGGTCAGCCAGCCCAAAAAAGGATTTTTTTTTTTTTTCTTTTTGCGCTAATAGACATGTCATGTTTAGTACATACATTATCCAGTACCGGTAACCCAACTCAGAGATAGCTAAGTGCTGATTTGCTGGAGGAACGGTCCACTGGACGTGGTCTCGACAAACTTTACAGATCACCACCAAATAACATTACTAATTGGATCCAATGATTTAGAAAAAAAATAACAACCCAAACAACCATGAGTGCAGGATTCAAAGCCAGCAGTTTACACAGGTTCTTAAGTTTGCATCTATAGGTGGACGGTAAAGGAAGATTGACTGGATTCAATTTGAAATATTTCTGTCCCAGGGTTCCTCTCTCCATCAAATCAAATGGTATCATAGACAAGCTGGCATCTCTTTAAAAATAGCATGGAATAACACAGCTCATTTAAGAAAACATGCTTATTTCTTGAGGTTTTTCTTTAGTATTACAAAGATTCATGTCCACCTATTCTCACAGAGTGGAAAGAGGCATGAGGGTGAGGAACAAAGGTCAGAGAAGGGAGAGAGGAGGAGGAGGGAAGAATAGGGCAATTTTTTGAAATAAAGACCACACACTTGGTACTTTTTAAATTTCATTTCCAGGCTAACCTACTTTTTATTTAATGCAAATTACAGTACCAGTTAACTATTTCCGAACCGAGTCACACAGAACAAAATGTATTTACAAGGAGAATTGGGGGGGGGGGGGGGGGGG